GAACCGGTAGCGGAAATTTTGAGTAGTTTGGAGAACCAGCAAATACAACCTTTGATTGGTCTTGCCTCCATCTATTCTCCGCCTCCCAAGTCCCAGCTGATCAGCTGGGTCTTCTTTGGTTGCCCTGCACGGAGAACAGAGCTGAAAAGCAGGTTAGTGGAATGGGGAGGGAAGGGGATTTTGCAGTATCCTTCCCCTGCCGTGCCCACCAAGCCACGCCCACAGAACTGGTAGTAAAAAAAATTGAATCTCCCCATTCTGCATAGAATCTTAACTAGGGGCTCTCCCGAACCCCTGCGAGCCCCCAGCAGCCCACCCCTGATTCTGCCCAACCTCTTATGTATCAGCCTTTTCCATTCTGGTGTTCCCTAACTCTATTGGGTTTACTACTAATCCCAGTTTATACAGGTGTTAGCTTGGAGATGCTCAGCAGAGTAAGCTCAAATTCCTGCGGCTGGTAGTTCCAAATGTACATGGAGAAAGGAAAAAGAAAATCTTTGAGAGAATCAGGAGACCTTTGAATGACTAAATGGCAAGGATAGTTGGAGGAAATGATGGCCACAAGTGACTTCATACCAGAATATGAAAACAAAGAGATAAGATGCTTTCCTTAAATCTCATTTCTCTTGGGATGACTTTGCATAACATAATGAAATTGAAATATCTTTATTATGGTTGAGGGAGGGAGGGAAGAGGAGAGGAGAGGGGGAAGGAAAGAAGAAGGGAAGGGGTGTGGAAAGAAGGAAGGGAAGGAGGGAAGAAAAGAGGAGGGGAGAGGAGAGGAGGAAGGAAAGAAGGAAGGAAGGAGATAGCTATAGAAAATCCATTATAAAAAAAGAAAGCAATAAACAATAAAACAACACATCTAAGCCAAAGTTTTCCACATATGCTGGCTTGGCAACTATGTTTTGTAACCCAGAATGTGAATGAAGAGCTAACATCCCTTAAAAACAATGAATATAAAATGTACCTGTATGCGCCTCAAATTTGGAAATAGAAGACACCATAGAAAGATATAGGCAAGAGCTTCTACTCTACAGCTACGGGAGCAAATCCTCCGAGGATAAGGATTCTTGTGAAATCTGCTCACCAACAATACAGAAGAAGCAGACGAAAGCACTCTCTAGAACAAGCCTCTATTTACTCTGAATTAGCTTGGGTAGATACCCTGCAATCCGGACCTTGCAGTAGTTTGACATGTGAATATCATGGTAAAAAAAGAAAAGAAAAGGCTAAGTTCCCACAACATAACAGCCTCTAAATTGTTTAACTATGATTTCTTTAAAAAGCCAGAAGTGGCTGCTGGTTCACACAGCCATGGAACTTAAAACAATTACATGACATTGCTTAGCACAGCACCTAATTCCAATTTCTGCACACGAATGAGCTCGGTGGTGTCAGGGCTCTGGGAATTACCCCCATTTAAATCATGAGTTTCAAGCCAAACTTCCAAAACTTCAAAAGGATTTATTGGGAGTTAACATGTCCGGCACTGCCCTGGGTGTAGCTGACTCTGAGACACATCATTCATTGTCACCCTTGACCCTGGTTTTCCCCCACCCCTTTGGGTGTATCGTAATTCATATTCTCCAATGGGACACATCCATAGCCAAGAGTCATCAAGAGTCATCAAGAGTCATCAAGAGTCTCCAGTTAGAATTTTGCACGGCAGAAACTTCGGTGACCTACAAACTATCTATGAAAACATTTATGGAATGCAGCTTTGGTTGCAAGCTGTACTGTGCTTCCCCACCACCACACACACACACACACACACACACACATACTTTCTGCTGGCAACTCTAAAAGACCAGATAAATATTTTATGAGTTGACAGGTGGTGCATTTCATTCCTTGAACTTGTTTCTTTCTTATCCTCTTTCTACAGTTTTACAAGGATGTGAAAGACTGGTGGCTTTTTGGATTTTACTTCTGCCTGCCTTTGGCCTGCACTGGTGTCTTCTACTCCCTCATGTCTTGTGAGATGTTGAGCAAAAGCAACGGCATGAGGTTGGCCCTCAATGATCACATGAAGCGGGTGAGAATCCTCCACATCTAAGATCAAGCAGACCTTTCAGCTTTGGCTAAACATGTGATGGTGGGGAGAGGTTTCCTTACTTTATCATTCTGTTTCCTGCCACTGTTCCATAATTGTCCATCTAATTCATGGTTGCCCAACCTTTTGGCTTGCCTGAGCTGCATTGAGTGAAGAGGAATGGCGGAATGATAGGATCTCCTGCCTTGAGCAGGGGGTTGGACTAGAACAGTGGTCGCCAACCAGTGGGCCGGGGACCACTGGTGGTCTGCGAGAAAATTTTGGTGGTCCACAGAGAAATGTTCCCCCCAAAGCAATTAATCCAGGCTGCACAGGAACACAAGGCTGCGCCACCCACATGGCCTGCGGGAACACAAGGCTTGCGGTGCTTGCATTGTGAACAACATGAGGTAGTGAGGGGAGGGGGGAAAGGGCAGAGGGGGGAACTTGCCCCAATCACCCCATGTGCCTGGCCTGGCCATCGGGCTGCTTCTTTCCGCTTCTTTCTTCTTCTGCTTTTGGCTACACGCAAGGAAAGCAGCAAAAGTCTGTCTTTCTCTCCCCCAAACTCCGCCAGAAATGAGTCTTTGGGACTCTGCAAGGCCTCTTGCTCCAGGAGGCTGTGCCACTAAGACTCATTTCTAGCGGAGTTTGGGGGAGAGAAATAAAGACTTCTGCTGCTTCTGCTGATTTCCTTGCATGAAGCCAAAAGTCTCTCTCTCCCCCCCGCCCTGAGAACGGAGCTGGAGATGGTATCCTGCCATCCCAAATAAAGAATGATCGATCAGTAGGAAAACGGGGTGGGAAATTTTCCTGCAGACTTTTTGGGGGATTTTCCCAGGGTCTCTGGTCCATGGGATTTAAAATTATGAGTTTGGTGGTCCCTGAAGTCCAAAAGATTGGCAATCCCTGGACTAGAAGACCTCCAAGGTCCCTCCCAACTTCTGTTATTCTCTTAATTCTGTCGTGGGTCACATATATTTCATTTCATGTATTTTATTTTATATTTTATTTGTTTTATTCTATTTATGATTCTATTTATAATTTTATTTATATTATTTTATTTTACTTGCATTTATTATTTTATTTTTTATTCATTTTAGTTTATTGTAATTTTATTTTATTATTATTTTTATTTTACTTTACTTTATTTTTATTTTATTTATTCAAATTCTATAGCTGCCCAAACTCAACCAAGTAATGATTCTGGGCGGCTTCCAATTACAATTTATAATTAGAACAATTGAAAAGTCAATAAAACAGTAAAAGCATCCACAAAATAAATAAGTATAAGCAGCAGCGGTGATGGTTAATCAACTAATAATGAAGCCAAGTCAATGATAAAAATACATTATATAGCGAATGTATGTAAAAACAAACCTCCTTTATTTTTTTAAAATATTTGTTATTATCTTATGGGATCATATTAAGAGCTGTCCAGTGCTGCATGTGGCCTGTGAGCCATGAGTTGGACTCACCTGGTTTAAATAAGGGTCAATTATGTACATTTGTTGACGCTGTCCTTGGTCCTGCTCTGGAAATGCAACATAGCTCAGAAATTAATGGATCTCTTTCTTTGATAATTTGCGGATACAACAACAGTGTATACAACAGTGGTAGGACTCATCTCTTGGGTGGGATGAGTCTGCCAACCGAGATGAGGTGGACCGGTTGCTTTTGTGGTGTGGAGACAATAACTTGGTCCTCAACACCAGTAAGACCAAAGAGCTTATAGTGGACTATAGAAGGAACAGATCAGACATCCAGCCCTTGCTTATCACTGGAGCAAGTGGCCAGTTTTAAGTTTCTGAATGTTACCCTAAAAGAGGACCTGACCTGGGGTGCCCACATTGCAGCCCTGGTCAAAAGGGCCCAGCAGAGATTATACTACCTGAGGCTTCTCAGAAAACAACAACTGAATGAAAAACTGCTGGTGACCTTCTACCGCTGCACCGTGGAGAGTATTTTAACTTACTGCACCTCTGTATGGTTTGCCAATTGCACAGTGGCAGATAGGAAAGCACCCCAGAGGGTTAACGTCATTGCCCAGAGGATCATTGGTTGCCCTCTCCCCTCTTTGGAAGAGCTTTATAGCTCCCTCTGCCTTAAGAAAGTTCAAAACATTCTCAAAGATCCATCTCATCCTGGGCACCCTTTTTTTTAACTATTACCATCTGGCAGACAGTCCAGGATAATAAAAACAAGGACAAATAGGCTGAAAAACAACTTCTATCCCTGGGCAGTAACTCTGTTGAATTCTGCTGTATAGTGCAATGTTAATGGAATATCCGGGGTTTTCAATTCACTTGTAGAGAATGCGAAGAATGTGTGTTTGTGTTTTATTTTTAGAGTTATAATATACACCGATGATGGCATTTAATTTCATTGTACAAAGTGCAATGACAATAAAGCAAACTAAAATGAAATTTACTTAAGTTTTATTTAAAAGTTTTATATCGCTGTTCATCTCATCTTATGATTCTGGGTGGATGAGAGCAATTTAAGACAACTGGAACCCAAATAGGTAAAGCAAGAAGAGAAATAAGTGAGAAACAGGAAAAGGCTGAAGCTCGTAAGGTCTGATCTAAGCACTGGAGGGGACAGGATGGAATGAAGTATGAGAAAATTGTTTGTCTTTTTTTCTGATCTTCTACTATTTGTTTCAATGGTCACATGTTTGTTTTCCAGCGCCGAGAAGTGGCCAAGACGGTGTTCTGTCTAGTGGTCATCTTTGCCCTCTGCTGGCTTCCTCTTCATCTCAGTAGGATCCTCAAGAAAACCATCTACAACCAACAAGATGCGGATAGATGTGAGCTGCTTAGGTGAGATCAATACACAGAAATGCCATGTGGTGATGATTGAGACTTTAAAAAAAATCGAAACAGTTTTGACAATGAGTCTTTTTGCTTTACTTATTGATTGTTAAGTGCATTGATTCAATTATGGCTATGCCACCTTTCCACCCCAGCTGGGACCTTCATGATAACATCCATTAGAAAGCTCTATAAAATTGTAAACAAGACAGCCATGAACAGCACGCTCCTTTGATTGAAAACAATGTAAAGTCTTGAGGTAGGGTAGTGAAGGAGTGATGAAGATCTAAAGAAGCTTGGTACAAACCATGGTCAAGATTTTAATGGCCTTTCCCCCAAAATACAAGGTCTTCAGGCTGGTCTAACTATTGCTTTTATCATGCAAGTGGATCTGGCATCATCAGGACACAGGGCAGTCCCAAACAATGCAGAAGATTTACTACTCATCACCATGTACATCCTTTGTCAAGATCCTTTCACAAAATTATTCTGCTATACTTAGGAAGTTCCTTCTGCAAGATAAGCAGAGGGTTGATTTAATTCAGGGTCTCCAAATGTGGCAACTTTAAGACTTGTGGACTTCAACTCCTAGAATTCCTCAGCCACTCACTGGAATTCTGGGAGTTAAGGTCCACAAGTCCAGAAGTTGCCACTTCTGGAGACCCCTGGTTTAATTGAAAAGTCCCAGAGTGTACCAACCCTACAAGAACAACTTAGCTGGGCAGATACTACGGAAGACAGATGATCCCTCAAGTAATCAAGCCCTATGCCTTGTTCAGCTTTATAGGTAACAACCAGCACTTTGAATTGCACCTGGAAGCAACCTGACAACCAGTGAAGCAGTAATGTTACATGGGTAAACTGAGGCATGCCCATAAGTGGCCACACTACTGTATCTTGAACATTGAAGCTTCCAGGTGGTCTTCAAGGGCAGCCCCATGGAGAGTGCCTTGCAACAGTCAACCCATAAATTAATCAGGTCATAAGCAATCCTTTGGATCATCTGGATTTGGCTTGAACTGAAAGAATTATCAAAGAAAAGAAACAGCTTGACCTCAGCTCTGCTAATAGAGAAAGCTAAATGGGTTAAATCCTAGTTAGTACTTGACTAGGATAAAGTAGGGAAGGCTACAGACCAGGTTGGGAAGTTGGAAAAAAAACTCCCAGAAGATGGGAAGGCAACGGCAACCTCTTCCATAGCCAAGAAAAGTGCTGGATATATTCTTGGAGTCATCAAGAATTGATTTTGTCCTAGAAGATGTTATCTTGCTTCATCTTAATGTTCTACATGATGGCTCTTTCTTGTCTCCTTCCATCCAGTTTCCTTCTGGTTATGGATTACTTTGGCATCAACATGGCCTCTCTCAATTCCTGCATCAACCCTGTGGCTCTCTATTTTGTTAGCCGGAAATTTAAGAACTGCTTTCAGGTAAGAGAGTTGATGAAAAGATGGCATGTGAAGGGAGGGAGGGAGGACATGATGAACTGAAGCATCCAGAGCAGTACCACCAAAAATAGAGAGGAACACTTTGTTATTATTACTTCTCATGAAAGAAGGTGAATATACATATCCCAGGATAATGTTGTAGAGTCCAATCTGGGTCAGTCACTGGGACCAGAGATTTTATCCTCCAAGCTTTTGGACATGTTGGAGTCCATCTTCAGATAACTTCTCTCTAGGCTTGTAAAACATTCCTACACCTGTTTCCAAGTTGCCATAAGAAAGGGGGGGGGAGAGAAAGGGGGGAAAACCCTGAAGGAACTCAGAAGCACATTCCAAGCTGATTTCACAAAGATTGCAACTGAGGCAACCGGGAATTCTGGGCGCAAACATTTTCTATTGTAGGGCGTGATTGATGACACCCAGTCCATGAACGTGTTTCCTTGGACAATCTGAATTATGATCCACCCAGAGGGGTAGTGGGGAAACAGGGTCATAGGTGATTGTAAATTATGTATCTCAGAGTCAGCTTCATACAGGTCATGCCAGCATGTCACTCCTAATAAATCTTTTGAAGTTTTTTGAAGTTTGGATCGAGGCTCATGATTTAATTCGGGCGATTGATGGAATCCTAGGAAGATAAAACTTCTAGTCCCAGTGAACCAGGTTGGACCCTGCATGATTACTCTTCCTTTATGATAATTTCTTCTCTTCCCAAGAAATTCCTACTCTTTGAGTATCTATGCCTGCAATCTTTTTTGGCTCCAACTCCACTTAGCAGAAGCTCAGATGAAAAGTATATGGTTTACAAGCAGCATGAAACCACCTCTTGTGGGGTGGAGAGCACAGACAGTCCCTTCTCCTTCATCACCAGCAAGCAGAATTGGGCTAGCTGTGGTTACTGCTAGCTTACCTGGAGCCCCGGTAGTGGTTAAGTGCACTATTGCAGGCTAATTCTGCCCACCCCTAGGAATTCAATCCTGATGGGGCTTAAGGTTGACTCAGCTTTCCATCCTTCCAAGGTTGGTGAAATGAGGACCCAGATATGCAAGTAATACTGACGTTGTAAAATAGTCTTGTTCAGAATGTGCTGTAAAATACTATGGGGCAGTATATAAGTCTAAAATGCTATTGCTATGATCTAATTCTGGAGGGCAAATAAGCTTGGCAGAGTGTGTGAAGGCAGAGCTACAATTAGTGACTTCTTTGGCCTATCCTGGGCCAGGAAGAATAAGACAAACTTCATCGGTGATTGAGGACGATATTTGTGATCTTTCCATCTCAACTTATTCTTCATTCCTGCCCTAAATGACTCTCATCTCTTCTTTGTTTCTCCTAGTCCTGCCTTTGTTGCTGGTGCCACCGGCCAGCACTTGGCATCCTCCCAACCGATGACAAGGGATCTGTGGGGAAATGGAAAGCCAACGGGCAGGAACTCGACCGGAGCAGTTCTCACCTGAGTAACAAGTGCAGTTCAACTTAGACCCAGGAAGAAACAAGATGAGAAAATTTGGTTGGAAATTCTGAGATAGATATCTTGGATACGGGATCTTGGATTGGGGTATTCCTCTTGAACTCAATTTTCTTCCCCAGAGATCAGCCTTGATCTCAATCATCTCTTGACTTCTCAAAGGTCAGATTTCTCAAAAGTCCCTGCTAAAAATATTGCTTTTCTCTTCTCTTCCCCCCACCTTTTTTTGGATCTTTCAATGATCATCACATCCTTTTCTTTACTCATTCTTCCTCACAGAATAAAATATTGCGTAGGACCATAAGAACGGGCTTGATCCAGGGTTTTCTGCTCTGTATAAGGGGGACTACAGCAAGCAGAAGCCAGGGGCTGATACTCGACCAGGAGAAAACAGAAAAGGACTAAAGGTTGACCCAGACCTGAGAAACTGAGCTATTTCCCAGTGGACAAACATGGCTTGTCACTGTCTCCTCATAACAAGCTTCGGGATCATGACATTTCTTTCTTAAGCTAACTAGGTAGGAAGGAACACGGTGGCTCACATGGTTAGTACGTTGGATTGGAGGTTAGCAAGTCTGCATTTGAGACTCAGATGCTGCTGTGTGGTGGGGTGAGCTCCCATCATTCGCTCCAGCTCCTTGACAGGGATATGAAAAGAGCCCCCATGGATGTCCCCCAAGCAACGGTGATGTCACCGGCTAATCCTTTCAACCTGGAAGCACCTTAAATGGTGCCTAAGACATGAATGGGACAGGAGTAGGTAGGAAGATGGAATCTCTTGCACTACCCATGTTCCTTTCCAAGAAAATGCAGTAGGATTTATAGTTCACCTGTAACTGACGTTACATCAAAGTGGTAGCATGCACAGTGACATCATAATACTAACCTGCGTCCCAAAGTCTGACATAAATATGTAAATAACCTTTTTTTGTTCTTATGCAGCAACATTTAATCGTATAATCCATTCCTTTTCCCACTAATGAAGGCCCATGAGTAGGCGCACAATGCCCTTACTTATTCTTGCGATGAAGCTGTTGGTGTGAGACTAGTAAGGCTCAGTTCGACTTTTCCAGTCAACCCTGAAACTAAGTGGATGATTTTAGGTCAAGTACATCTGTCCCAGCTTAACCTACCTTACACGGTTCTTGTAGTTGGGACAAGGTGTGGGAAGATCCATACCAGGTGCTTCTTAAGATGCTAGGAGAAAAGTGGGTTATAAGTGCAATGTAACACCCATAATTGCAGAGTAGAATGATCATTAGGTACAGAGGTGTGTGGAGAATAACCTTGGAGAAGGCTTGCAGCAACTGTTACAAAATCATCTTGACCCAGAAAAACAGGAGGGTGTGAGAATGAAACTCAAGATTGAGCTACCTTGACTGTCTATGTCATAAGAGGAGAAAGAGAATCTCTCTCTCTCTGACTTTCAACATTGATAGCAGCCTCTCCAGTTTAGGTCATGTCAGGAAATAGACCCTACCAAGAAATACCGGAACTGTATTTTATTGCTCTAGAGGATAATAAACTTGAGATGTCCTTAGAACAGAGGTCCCCAAACTTGGCAACCTTAAGACTTATAGACTTCAACTCCCAGAATCTGGGAGTCTCTTCTGGCTGGAGAATTCTGGGAGTTGAAGTCCACAAGTCTTAAAGTTGTCCAGCTTGGAGACCTCTGCCTTAGAAGAACACTTCACCCATGAAGCTGAAGATCTGGAGCAAGTCTCAAATAAATTCAACTCGATGCCTGTCTCACTAATAGTTGGTGGAATCTTGTTTTGCTAGAATCCAAGTTAACAAAAGCATAAACTAACAACACACGGGTGGATTTATCACTGTGATACACAGTGAGCCACCACAACTGTCAACACAGGGCACGCTGAACCTAGCCAATTGTATCCTTAAGAACAGAGAGAGTAGCTCCAGTGGTCATGAATCTCGAAAGCAACAGATTTTACAGAATCTCTTACCTTTTACCACTCCAGAAACATGTATGTATGTATATAAGTATGTCCCAATCTCTTAGTACAGATATTCTAATACATTGCCAACCTATGGGCTGATTATATGTATTATATTCTATTCTCCTATTTAGAAAGGATTATTTGCTTAGGATACAACAGCAAATCCTGAAAGATGAGATGCTCAGGAATGCATCCACATTGCCTGTGTTTTGGATCTTGCTAATATTTCTAACTTTACCCCTCACCCCTACCCTTTTTAAACAGACGGCTTTGCTTTTATTATATTCCTCATCCTAGGAAGCGAATTAAATATTTTACTGATAAAAGACTAAAATTATAATCCTACATCCATTTACTGGGAATACATCAGTCAAGTTTAGTGTCTTTCCTTCGGCCTAAACCTCCTAGACCAGGGGTGTCAAAAATCAAGGTTCTGGCCCCCGAGGTGTTTGGATCTGGTGTCAGGTCCATTCAAAATCCAAGAAAGAAAACCTTAGACTCCATTGTTATAGAAAAAAGGACTTTTACTGAATTTGAAGTGGTAGCATCAGTAGAAATACAAGATCTGAGGCAATAGGTGTGAAAATCACATATAGAAAGTTACCCCATGTTCCCACCTGCAAGAGTTCAAACTGGCCATCCAATCAGTGATGTATAATTTATAATGTCATGTGGGGCATCTTCAGGTGGCGTTTCAGACAGGTTGACCTTGGCTTAGACCAAGGGTCTTGAAACTTGGCAAGTTTAAGACTTGTGGACTTCAACTCCCAGAATTTCTGAGCTAACATGACTGAAGGAGGAATTCTGGGAGCTGAAGTTCACAAGTGCTAAATTAGCTTTAGGCTTCTATCAGAGTAGCTTTCCATGGCCTGGTTTATTCCAGATTTGAACATCTGAAATTCCCACCTGGCATGGAGGCCATCGGTTTGGGGAAGCCTCTGCCAACAACCCAGGCCTCTAATTGAATTCGGAAAGATGATCTAAGAGATATTTAATTTTGAATCCAAACATTCCTAATTCCAGCTGATCCAAGGAACAGCAACTGTGCTTTCTTTATTTTACTTTTAACTGGAGTAGCCTCCGAAGAGTTTGTAATAGTCCCAATGTAACATTAGGATTTAGGATTTTCTGACGGTCTGTGTAAACCATAACGTGTGTTGAACGTGGACTAAAATAACTTTTTCTCTCTCAATAAAATGCTGAATAAAAAGGTTACAGATATTAGCGATGGCAACGTCTGTATTAGCAGATCTCAGGTCTACAATTATAGCTGAAAAGATATGACCAATAGCCACGCCCACCCAGTGGGCCACGCCCAATGAGTGGCCTCAAGCTGGCCACACCCATCCAATTGGTCCTGCCCAGCTGGGCCCCGCTGAGGTCAACCCCAACCCTGATGCGGCCATCAACAAAGTTGAGTTTGACATCCTTCTTGTATTATGGCAACCAAAACAGGACGCATATTTCAGTGCAGCAGAGAGTGGGGCAACCATTCCCAGGGTCTCAGATATCACCATTGCCAGAAGCTGGTTCACAAGAAGTAGAACCTTTCAGCCTTCTCCCTCTGGATGTCCTTTTAGGCACCTTTCTACTAGTATAGCCACCTTAACTCTCAAGGGCTTGGAGGAGAACATCCCACGCACCTATTTGGATAGCTTTTTTTTTTTTTTTTTTTAAAAGGAAATTTCAAATTTGGTTGAGCCACCCGCTGAAAATATACCCCTCACAAACATGACATCTTGAAAAGAGTTACCACCACTGGATAAAAAAAAAACAACCTGCAGTATTAATGTAGGATTCCCGCTGCTCTCTGACGATTGGATGCGTTATAAACCCTAAAAGCAAATATCTCCAAACTTGGCAACTCGAAGACTTGTGGATTTCAACTCCCAGAATTCCTCAGCCAGCTATGCTGGCTGAGGAATTCTGGGAGTTGAAGTCCACAAGTCTTCGAGTTGCCAAGTTTGGGGACCCCTGCCCGAAAGGGAGACTGTAGATCCCGTCACGCAGGCCTTAGAAAAAGAGAGATTTAAAAAAAAAAAAATTTGGGGACCCTTGCCCGAAAGGGAGACTACAGATCCCATCACACAGGCCTTAAAAAAAGAGATATTTTTTTTTAAAAAGCAAAAATAAAATGTCTTTTTAATAAGTCCTAGCTTCTCAACCCGTTGCTGTAGGCAGAGTTTTATCCATGATGCGGCTGTCGACATACTATTGCATTGTCACGTCCTTCGTGGCTTTGTATTCTTCTACACTTGCCTGCAATAGAAAAAAAACAAAGAAAGATCCTGACTTTTTGTGCCACAGAATCAGAGAAAAAGCACTTCAACAAAAGCCAGCTAGTCCAGTCCCTTGATAAACGGATGTCGGTTGTTTACACCATCCCGGCATGAAAATGGCCACCAATAATGGTTTTATTAAGATCGCCTTGTTTATTTATTATTTTACTGATGTATCAAATTTATTTGCCGCCCTTCTCACGGTTCAGGCGACTCTGATTCTAGCCTCCTTTGAATGCAACCCAAGCTCTTTGCAGGGGCATCTGGCAGGACCATGGAACTGGGTATGGCTAGTCTAGAGAAAAGAAGGACTAGGGGCGACATAATCGCAGTGTTTCAGTATTTGAGGGGGGTCAACCTATTTTCCAAAGCACCAGAAGGCAGGACAAGAAACAATGGATGGAAACTAATCAAGAAGCAACCTGGAATTAAGGAAAAACTTCCTAACAGGGAGGACAATTAACCAGTGGAACTCCTTGCCTTCAGAAGTTGTAGGTGCTCCATTACTGGAGGTTTTTAAGAAGAGATTGCACCGCCATTTGTCTGAAATGGCATAGGGTCTCCTGCTTGAGCAGGGGGCTGGACTAGACGACCTCCAAGGTCACTCCCAGTTCTATTCTACTCTATTCTAAATGAGGACCCAGATTGTTAGGGGCAACATTCCAATAATACTTCTGTGTTGTAAACCACTCCGAGCATGCTCTAAAACAGGGGGGTCTCCAACCTTTTGGACCTCAGGGACCACCAAACTCATAATTTTAAATCCCGCAGATCAGAGATCCTAGGAAAATCTCAAAAACAGTCTGCAGGAAAATTTCCCACCCCGTTTTCCTACTAATCGATCATTCTTTATTTGGGATCGCAGCTCCGTTCTCAGGGGAGGGGGAGAGAGAGAGAGAGAGAGAGAGACTTTTGGCTTCATGCAAGGAAAGCAGC